GTGTGTGTGTGTGTGTGTGTGTGTGTGTGTGTGTGTGTGTGTGTGTGTGTTGGAGGGGTATGGCCCTATGGCCTTTCTCAACATGAGTCACCATCTAGCTAAAGGGTTTTCTTAGCTCTCTGGATAAACTACTACCATTGTGATCTTAGGTTTCACTTGAGGTGTGCAGCTCTACCGTGGATGTGCCCTTGCTCAATCTTATTTGCTTCCAGAATATGATTATTTATTATAGCACCTTGAATCTCAAAGTATCCAAGTAATTTAAAACAGCAATTTATTAGCACACTGAAAATCTGAGGCCTTTTATCTGTAAGGAAGTATAGGGTTCATGAATCCATTCTTAGTGGAATACAAGACATTATTAATTTTTTAAATTAATTAAATTAAAGAAGAACTAGTGTACACAGCAATTTTGAAAAACATCATGGCAAAGGACAAATCTTCCATCTGAACAGACCCTGAGCTTGTTACCACGAAGTTGTTTTGATCAGCAAGAAACAAATGAAGCCCTTTTCACAAGTGTTTTCTTTTCTGCATGGCAAAAATGTGTAGGGTAAATATTGCCAAAAAGTCTTGCTGTTATGCAAATAAGGATGTTTCCAGAAAGGGGAGTCTTACAGAGCACATTGTGACCTCTGTGAAAAGTCACAGGATTCTAAATGGGAGTGGCCTGAGAGAAGATGAGTTTACTTCAAACTCAGCCATAATTTACTGTCACGATTCGAAAAACATAAAATTATTTCATGTTCTCCATGGGTTTACTGATATGTTGGTTAAAGCACTGTAAGAAGGGGAAAAAAGTTATCTGTGTGTAAAATGCTTTATGGTTATCATGTGGAGGGAATACCTCTAGACACAGAAATAGATGAGCAAACTCCTCACTGGCTGTGGTGTTTGAATGGCCAAAGGCTGTTGAAGATCAGAGCAAAAGCAAACAAAATTGTCCTCTTTTTACAAGTGGCAGATGTGGAAAATCTCAGCAAGACATAAAATAAGATGACAGAGTTTTTTTATTAGATGCATCCTCTTGTCCTGAATCAAAAGTTAAAACAAGAGGGCCTCTATCTTGCTCAGGAAGTGCAGAAGGATGTGTTCTATGAAAGAAATATGTAACATCTTTTATGGAAGGCCATAACATACTGCACGGGAGGAAGTTCTTAGAAACTTACCCATCACTGTTAACATCTGATACCACAATGGTATACCCGAAATAAGATGCCATCTGTAAAACAACGATAGATTTTGTGTTTAGGAAGCCATGTTTATGGTCACTTTTTAATTATTCATGAAAAATGGCTCTCACTGTGGCACATATTTTTTGCATTTAAATTCATAGTCCCCGGACCTTGCTCCAAGTGTTCAAGTCATTTAGTCTAACCTCTGACCTAATGAATAATTCCCTCCATAATAATCCTGACATCTGCTTGTACATCCCCTGGATACATTGGGCCCATTCAGTTTTCAGACACAACTATTAGGAGGGTCTTTCTGAGACATCTAGTGCTTTCCTCAGTTTAGCTCAGCCATCTTAAACCCCACGGAATCAACTCAATTCCACCACATAGGGAGGACGTTCAGGGCATTTTCAGATGCCACACAGTCCAGCTCTGAGTTTCCACATGGCAGACTCAAAGAACAGATGGTACTCATAAGCACAAAGACAGAAACGAGAAGTAGGAATTGCTCTTTCTACAATATGATTTTCATTTTAGGGAAATACACAATTCATCAAATTACAGTGAAATCATATTTAATAAGACTCCTAAATCTTTTCAGTGAGTAGAAAGACTATATAATTTGCCGCAGTTTCCCCTCAAAATTGTTTTTAAATAGTTTTATAACTTGTTTCAGTCTGGCTCATCATTTTATCTTACCAATGTTGTTCTTTGTGTGTATGTGTTTGTCTGCATGTTCATGGGTGTGTGCTGATGGGAAGCTTTGTCTTCATGTGGGTCTCTAGCAAGTAGAGCCTTATCTCTGACATGGACTCTGTTACCTGCTTTTGGGTCACTTTCTAGCTAGGAGAAACTAGCTGGGCTGCCCTGTCTGGCCTCAGTAGAAGAAAATATGCTTAGTCCTAATGGTACTTGATGTACTGGGGTGGGTTGGTAGAAGGGCTTCCCTTTTTGAGGAGAAGGGGAGAAAGAGAAAGGGGGGAGAGAGTAGGAAGGTGGGAGTGGGAGAAGAGGAGGGAAGGGGCTGAAACAATCAGGATGTAAAGTAAACAAATGAATAAATAAATAAACAATAATAAATAATTTTTTAAAAAGAAAAATATATAGGCAAGAAAGAAAGAAAGGAGGGAAGGAGGGAAGGAAGGGAGGGAGGGAGGGAGGCAGGGAGGGAGGGAGGAAATTCTGTCTCACAGAAGGCAGACTTCTGTTTGTTTTGAGCTCTCTACTTCCTGCTGTGCCTGAGCAATGTGTGGACCAGAGCAGACTTCATTATGACACAAAATCTCTCCAGAAGTGCTGTTATGAACTCATGAACCCATCTCCCTTCTCTATCACCCCAGCCTCATTTGTCCCTGCCACCCAACAAAGCAACAGGCAAGATATGAAATTCCTTGTTGAAAATTTCACAGCAATGGGTACCCTGACCCTCAAATGTTGACAGCAAGACATGAAAAGCTCTTGCTGTCCATTTAAAAACCTTTCTAATTAATTCTCTGGACATCATTCTCCTGGAGGGCAGGGTTACATCCAGTGCTTGAAAAACATGTGGAAAATGTCACCAAGTCACAGTAATCAGGGAAACATGGGTCTCAAACCTTGGTTGGGAAGGTGGTAGCATCTGATATGTAAGCGCTGACCCATTTACATAAGGTCTCGGGTAAGGACAGGATATAGAGATAAATGCCTAATCCCTGCAAGGGAGAACCCCAAGCAACAGCATTCCAGGACTACATAATGTTGAGGCTCCGGAGAACGCTATCGGTGTGCTAGGGAAGAGTGGCAGAAACCAGACTCACCCTCTGGCTGATAAGGTCCGACCTGGGCACAGCCAGTCTCCTACCATAGGGAAGGGGGTTCTGAGAACTCACTCTTTGGCTACACTGACCACCATCTGCAACAGAACAATATTGTTCTGCTGTTCCATATTCTGGGGACTTTTTGCTTTTGTTCCTTACAATCTGCCATGCTGTAGAGACCTGACTTATTGGCTAGCCATGAGGGAAGCCATGAGTCTCAAATACCAAACACATGCTGAGATTCTTTCTTTCCTGTAATCCTTGGCAATAAACATAGAAAAGAAATAAACCCAACCGGAATCTTTTCATGTCTCAATCTCTTGCCAGGAATTTCTGGATGCTAAGGGAGGTGTTTGATCTGCTCTCTTCAGCAGCCCCACCCACCTGTGTGCACACACGTATACTCAAACACCATTGGCAGGAGGCTTTGTCCTTTATTGAGAACTTCCAGGAACTGACAACCAAGGGCCTCTTTGCCATTCCCAGCTATTCCCAGAATTCAATGCCAGCTCTACCTGAGGCTGCCACTTACCACTAGTAATTATTTAGGCACCTCATTAAGACCTGGTCTTATTGGTTTGGTGTGTGTGTGTGTGTGTGTGTGTGTGTGTGTGTGTGTGTGTGTGTGTATTGTTTTGATTTTTTTATTTTCAATTTTTTTTTGTTTTTGATTTATTTTTTCTTGACAGACAGAGTGAAAGAGAGAGTGCGCACATTAAGTTGGGTGGATAGGGAGGTGGAGAGGACTTTTGAGGAGTTGGGGAGGGGGAAGAATATGACCAAAATATATGAAAAATGAAAAAAAAATCTTTCTTTAGAAAAGACCCTGGGTTATTCCTTCCATGATTTCAATTAAGTCTTAGTTTTAAACACAGTATATACTGGTCACATGGTTATGCTGAGGAAAATATGGAGTCCTTTCTCTGATAAGAAGTGTTTCCCTGGTGGGCTTGCCTTTTTAACACCCTGAAAGATCAGAGACCATGCTGAGCCCGGTGGTTCCTGGGCCTAATCCTAGCATATGAAAGACAGAGGAGAGGAGATTATGTGTTGCATACTGAAAATGTCAGAACCAAATAAGGACTAAGGGTTAGCTCGGCACAGTATACAGCTAATATGTTCAAGGACCCGTGTTTCACCCTCCATACCATGAAGAGGGAAAAAAAATTAGCTCAGTGCAGCTTGCTATGTCAGCCTCACAGTGTGCACTTAATTTTGTAGGTGAGTGTGGTTAGATGTCACACATTTGACCCTCTGCTCTGGCTTATTTCTTGCTTGTTTATGGCCACAGCAGCCCTCAGAAGCCCCGCATTTGTGCAGCTAGCTCCTGTGTGAAGGCCTGTACAGTCTCTGCTGCTGGTTTAGAGTTGGCCATGACTTTTGTAGAGGACACCAACCTTTCCCTGCCTCCACCACAGTATAATTGTTTTATTTTCTTCAAATCTTTGATCACCATCTAAAGCTCAATCAATGGCTGTATCCTGCTTCTTCCGCATTTAGCTGCTTGAGAGCTAGGATCGATTAGGTACACCGTTGTACCCAGTGTTCATTATTTCCTGAATGAATGAGTACATGATATGAGCACTAGCTGTGTTGGTTGAAATGACTTAGGCTGGGGAGAGTGGTGTGAGTATGTAATCTCAGTGCTGTGGAGTGAGGCAGGAAGATTGTCACGAGTTCAAGACCAACTACACAGTAAGTTCCAGGATATTTTGAATAAGACTCTGTGTCTAGTCAACAAACACCAAAAAGTCTTTACCTGCTCACCAGTAAAATTCTGAATGAAGGTCATATCTGTGGAATTAATGATGGAGACCTGAAATTGCAGAAGTGAGACACTGTATCATTCGACAGAATCAGAGAATTGGCTTTTAAACAATTGCAACTTAAACATTCTTATGAAGTGAAATAGTTGGTTAGGCCCCAAGCATGATCTCAGAAAAGGCAATTAAACTTTTTAATTTTTAAACAAAGAGCATGCTTATGACCCTGGAAAGGGGAAAAAATTAAATGCAAGGATGTGGGTAGTAGTTATCATGTTGTCCAATTAATTTATCTGCTTATTATTTTGTTCTAAATGAATATGTGTACATGATATGTACTTATGCAATCGCTTCTGTTATTATGAGAAATGATAAATGACTCTTTGGAAAAATAAGCTTTTTGAATGCTATCTACATAGAAAAAAAATGTCATGTTTAATGTTATTTACCCAAACATGAACCTACAAACTGTATAGTGTCTCGATTATGTTTTCAGTTATATTTTGAGACAGGGATTCACTTACAGCTTGAGGTGACCTGAAACTTGTTGTGTCTGAGGTTAGACCTCAGACTCTGGATTCTTCTGACTTAGCAGCTTCTTGAGAGGCAGCGTTATAATAGCACCATTGCGCACATCCTTGCATGCTACAGGCCTATGTTTAACTACATGCATGTTCCCCGGGAGACACCTACCTAGGTCTTTGAGCAGGCTCTGTCTCTGGCTTCAGGTTTACTCGTTGAACTAAGCAGATTAACCAGTCAGTTCTGGGCTCACCCCATCTCCACCTTCAATGCTCGGGTTCCCTTATCTGACTTTCGGACATGGGGTCTGAGATTCAAATTAGGTCTTTGGGCTTGTACAGTACTAACAACTTAACTGATGAAGTTATCTCCCTCATCCTGTCAGCTCTTTTTGTGTGGTCTCTTTGCACATATCTTTCTTTCTGACTTCATGGTCAGTTATGATGGGCTTAAATATTATCCATCTCAAACCTAACACTTTGGAATGTGAACTCTTTTTAAAATGCCTCTGTAGGGGAATGAGTAGGGGGCCTGGAGACAAGCTCATCATTTAGGTACCTTCTAAATGCAGTGATATGTGCTTTGTGAAGGAGAAAACACAAATATAAAAGGATGTGTGTGTGTGTGTGTGTGTGTGTGTGTGTGTGTGTGTGTGTTGGATAATGAAGATTTCGCAAAAAACATGCACCCCACATTTTGGTTTCACGTGGATTCCCAGGAATGGTGCAATTGATATAGTTTCACTTGTTTCCTTTGTGGTTGAGTAGAAACAGGGTGCTCCTGTAGTAGGAACTCATTAGTAAAGAACTTTGAAAGTGGCCTGAAGTTACATGGGGGAACATACTTGAGTGCACATAGAATATGTCTAGAATACATCTTGGTACTCACATAGCCAAAGTTCTGTGCTCCTCTTGGAATACCAGCAACCAATTCTGGGAATAAAAAGAGTCATTTAGAGGGAGAACAACACACTAGTTAGTTAATTACTGTGTTTACATATGTGTGTTCATGTATGTATGGAGCACACACAGATGCAGGTGATGAAAAGGCCAAAGTAGAGCCTTGGGTATGGGTTGTTTTTTTTTTTCCTCAGGAGACATCCACCTTTTGCGATGGGGTCTCTCACGGGACCAAGTGCTGATGAAATTATTTCAGCTCTCCTGGCTGACTGGTGAGCCACGGAGATCTGCCTGCTTCAACGTCTCCCACTCTGGAATTGTAAGCCCAAGCCCCACACTGTCTACTGTAGATGGGGTCTGAGGACGCAACCCTAGCACAACCCGGTACTTATCCTTGCTCAAGTTGAACCTCACCAACAGAGTCATTTCTTCAGCTGCCAGTACACTTAAAGCTATTAGCCTCAGGCTGTAAAGATGATGGCGCCCTATAAATGAGCAATGCAGAGGGTAAAGTTGGTGCCTTGCGAATGGCAATGCAGAGTGTTACAGGCTGGAAATCAGGGGCTGCAGTTGTTTTCTGCAGGAAGCTTCTTTTGCAAACAAGCAAAGTCACACTTTGAGCTGTTGTGCTTTGCGTACTAGACCGCATGCAGCTCTGCCTTTTAGAATACGCTCCTGTCTCTGCAGGTGTGCGTGTGATTTCAAGGTCAACTTTCTACGGAGGCTTTGCTAACTTCTGCTTCCGGGCCGTCTTTATAACACAAAGGTGCACCCTCAGAGGCTCAGTTATGCTCTGTGGACCACCCGGCAGGCCAAGGGTTCCATATTAAGATCCACATCCAGAACTCGGAGAATTGGTTTTCCTTTCTCTTCTCCTTGTTTTTCTTTATCTTATTATATATATGTATATATATATTTACTTATCTATCTATCTATGTGTGCGCACATGCAGCCACGAGTCTGTATATGGAGGCCAAAGGCTGCTATCCAGTAGCGTCTTCTATCATTTTCCACTCTAGTTTTTGGAAACAGGGTCTCTCACTGAACTTGAGTTGAGTTTACCATTCAACTTAGACCTAGGTCATTTGAGCCCCAAGGAGTCTCATCTCTGTCCCCAGTGCTGGAAGTATAGGTTCTTGTTGCTGCACTTGGCTTTTTTTACATGGGTTCTGGGTTTCTGAACTCTGTTCTTCACTCTTGCGTAGTCATCATTTGCTCATGAACCATCCCTCTAGACCTTCAAACTGTCTTTCATGTTGGAACTCCCCAACTTCTCTAATTGATAATGAGCATGAATGGCATGAATGGCCATGGATTCTCAACAGTCTAATTAACTATTTGAGACGTCTTTGACGGTGCCTTTATTTTATAAATCCTCAACTCATATAAATCCTGAATGCATTTTCTATATATTTCTGAAATCCAATGAAAGTTACTGTCATGTTGTCAATCACATGGGACAATGTGCTTGTGATAAGACAGTAAATTCTTGCTTTTATGATTGTAAGACCATTTTCTTCTGATGATATCTAGTCAGAGGTGTGATAGTAGTTTGTGTGAAACAAATGTTTTAGCTTTAAGGTGTTAATACTATAATCAAGCTCTTTCTAACTACTGCTTAGAATAAGACATTTGCAAGTGTCTGTCTTGATTGCAAGAATCACATCAACGTCGTCTAAGTGATCTTCTAATTATATATTCATTATGGACACAGTTAAACTCATGTAATAAGAAAAAACAGTTAATACTGCTATGAAATAAGGTGAAAAAATGGCAAATAATAATTAGCAATTGACTCATTCAGTCAATATTACTAGTTAAGCAAAAGCTTAACTCTGATTCTTTTGTGAATGTAACATGTATTTTTTATGCACTGTTCAGAATGGTAGTTCAGGTTACATAGCGTTAATGTTATTCAGATATAAGCAAATGAGAATTGGAGAGGTTGTAGTATCCTAAAAAATGCTGTCAGTCAAGTCAGAACTTGAAATTGACTCAAATTTTTTACTATCGTTTTATGATAATATCTATTTTAGGAGCCCTTTATGAGAAGAATGTTGTCTAGTCTTTAAAATGAAGATAAATAGCAATGAGACATAGATCTTATATTCAAGAACCAGAAAGGAACATAAAAATGTATATCATACTATTCTTTCCAATCAAATTTAAATGGAATAACCGATGTGGTTTCCTTCTGTTTGTTTTGTTTAAGATTGTGTTTGCTCCTCTCCATAAATCTTTTCCGATTTCTGCTCCTGTATTTTGCAAACTTTTAGAACTCTATGATCCATAAGATCTAGTGTGAGCTAGGTCCTGCCTCCTTTTCTCTAACCCAATCACAGTAACCATCAAAGCATAAAAGACTAGCCAGTCAGATGCATTCCTTAACCACTCCAATCTTTTACACAAGTTATCTTGAAGATATTACCCCTCAGTCCATACCCCCTTTCATTCTTCTGAGTCCTAGTCAATGGAAGTCCTCTACTCTGTGCTTTCTGGTTTACTCTAGTACTCCTCACAATTCTTAGGGAAGTGTGGCGGTTTGAATAGGAATGACTCATAGGGTTGGATGCTTGTCCCTTAGGGAGGGGCACTGTTAGGAGGTGTGGCCTTGTTAAAGTAGGTGTGGCCTTGCTGGAGAAAGTGTGCCACTATGGGGGCGGGCTTTGAAGTCTCCTATGTTCAAGCTCAGCCCAGGGTGGAGCACACTCCTCTCCTGCTGCCTGAGGATCAAAATGTCATCTCCTTTCCCAGCATCATGTCTGCCTGCATCATGCTCGCATTCTGTCAGGTTTCCAGCTGTGAAGACAGTGAACTTTTTAATATTAAAATATTTTCCTTTATAAGAGTTATGGTGGTCTTGTGTCTTCTTCACCCTAACTAAAACAGCAGATGTCTTGTGTTTGTGAGACCTTTAGTGTAAGCTCTAGGATTAAGGACAATTTGTTTACTTTTGCATTCTCAGCTCTTAACAGATGCTGGCACATAATAGGTACACAAAAAATCTGTAACAAATGAATGGATGGCAAAAACCTTAGAAGACCAGAAAAAATGAGATGACACAGGCAGTTATAGAAGGACGCTAAATAAGGAGTCGAGGAAATAGCATTTGAAAACTGGCCTGAAAATTCAAATTCTGTGGAAAGACAGAGAAGGATAAAGGACTAGAGGTTTAGAAACAGGATGAACAATGAAGGCTGTCTGTGTAAATGGGGTTAATTTCTTCTGTTATTTGGGACTGGTGTGCCTAATGGAGAGAGGGCGACAACGCTGTCACATTGGGGTGGAGTCAGGCGGTGGACACCTGCGATGCCCGATGCTATGCATCAAGTGGAAAAGCCTTGATTTCACACCTGATTGCTATGCAAGTGTGGCACTTGTCTAAGTCATTTGATCATCTGTTTAGTGTCCTCTCATATTCTGGGCATCTTTCCTCATTTTTAATTACTGAGTTAGATTTTTATAGGGATCGGAATATTTTTCTGTGTGTGTTTGTTTGTTTGTCTGAGGAAGGGTTTCTTTGTGTAGCCCTGGCTATCCTGGAATTCACTCTGTAGACCAGGCTGTGGAACTGATTCTTATGAAATTTGTTGAAACAAAATATATATATTCTACAAAATGTTATCATATAGATACATACATTTCATCTCTATAAGTCTTTGTGTAGCAAAGAAAATAAATTGTATTTATGATAAGACTTCTGTATTATTTAAGATTTCCCAAGGTTTTAAAATCACTTCAGTTCATTAATGTCTCTGACCTTGCTGAGAGTCTCCAGTGAATTCTCCAGCAGCAACCGAATACCCTGTATTAAAGAAAAGGAACTAATAAATTGCATTTGATAAGGAATGAGTTGTGTCTAGAAAAAAAATGAAAGTGCTATCATGATACTATTTTGCTCAGAAACCTCTAAAAACATGTAAAAAGTTAAAGAATCTCTGAGAGGAAAAAATAATCACAGCAACATGAACACTTTCAGACTAATTTCCAGTGAGAAATGCTGATTTTCAGGAGAAACATGACCAAAAAAAGTTAGATTTTCCAGATCAGCCGTCAGAGCGTGAGTCATAACCCCTATACGTGGGAGTGGTGGCTGTTGCATTTTAAAGGCTGCAAATGCATCAGCATCAAGCATAATTCTGCAAGCCATCCTTCATCGTTACCTACTCTTAATTCCTTCATGATATTGGCCCGTTAGGTTTTGCTATTAATCATCATGACCTACTCGTAATTCCTTCATGATATTGGCCCACAGATACCATTGGGCTCAAAAGCAAGGTTCCATTTAAATTCACAAAGCATAACCACAATTTAATTTTCCAATTCGTAAAGCAATCAGAATATCACTTGAACACCCAAGATGGTTTACGAAAATATTAAGATGACACTGTATGGTTTTCACATGACAGAAGTTGGAAAGATTCTTTTTGGTTTTGTTGAAACTGGACAGGCTACTATCATGTTGCTCTATAGCATGAGCAGGAGCCCTGCTAATACAAATGTCTTCTACCAGTAATGTATCATAAGAGAATGTCAAAGAGCCTACAAAACAGCAGCTCAAATCATGCAAGCAAATTGTGGTGAAAAAGAAAATGTAAAGGTCTACTGAGAATAATAAGAAAGAAGGCTCTCAAAAGATTTCAGACAACACCAGATAAGTCATGACAAAAAATAAAAGAAAAGAATAACAACAACAAAAACAAAAGCAACAAAAAAGACACCACACGTGCATTTAATTTGCTTGTCTTTTGAGAGACTACACACAATCTGGAACAATGGTTCTTACCAAGGTAGCTGTCATCGTAAGAAGCCGGAGCCACGTCTGTCTGCTTCTCTCCTGCCAGTTTCCTTAGAATATCCTTGAATGAGTAGTTTGCGATGATATCTGCTATACTGACAGTGATCACCTGACCTGTGTTTGAACAAATTAATACATCAACTGAATGGAGGCAAAGGGCGGCCTCTTGCTCAGCAAACCTGGAACCACACCACATACTTCTGAATGCTACTGAGGACGTGGTTCCAATCTGCACCCGAAACTGTCAGACAGAGGTTAGTTATAATTGGGTAAAACTTTCTATTCTAGTAGAAGGCCAGAGATGAACAGCAATGTTTTAGCCATTCTTCCTGTACTTAGTACTCTTCCTGTCTTCAAATGATAAATGTATGAAGGAATAAAAACATTTACAAATGAAATTTATGTTTAAATTTGTATTTTAGAGTTAGGAATGGAGTTCATTTCATAGACTGCCTATCTAGCATGCATGAAGCCCTGGGTTCAAGCCCCAGCTCAACAGAAAACTGAGCAGGGAGCAGTGAGTAGAGAGACACATTTCTCTAATCCGAGCACTTCAGAGATGGAAGCAGAAAAATCAGAAGTTCAAGATCATCCTGGGCTACACAATGGGTATGAACTCAGGCAAGGATACATAGAGCCTTGTCTCTAAAACAAACAAACAAACAAACAAACAACAACACAAACTATAATGTTCTATCCAGAAGAAAATTTAACATCAAATTTGTGTGTGTGTGTGTGTGTATATATATATATATATATATATATATATATATATATATATATATAT